CACGAGCTCAAGAGTGTAGTTTCTTGTAATGTTCCAAACTTAGCCAGTTGAGAATACATGGTGTTTGACGAGTTACATACTACGAAACGTTGCTTTATCCATAAGTCTACAAATTGAACCTGCTCGGCGACGCCTGATTTAATACAGCTCAGTCGTCAAGCCACAATGTCAGACCAATGTGAAGGTGAAAGAAAACACTGTAGTGATATCACAATACTGTTGGTATCATGGGAACGTGGCCATTTAACTCAGCAAAACATCAGTGTTTAAATTTTCTTTATTTTTAGTTGATATCTACTTTACCTCCATATATAAACCTGTTAAAGCCATCCACTTCATTTTCTTGTCTATTTTGTACTTTACAAGTTGGCAGTGTTTAAGTCGACCGTGTCTCTGAAAGACTCGACAGGGTTCGCTTTCTACGGCTGTAGAGAAAGAAATATATTATCGATGTGTCAATTAACTTGGGTAAAAAAAATTAGAATTGCCAAAGTGATACAATAACAAAAAAAAACTTAATAAATGTTAAAGAAATAAATTTGTACAACATACCTGTAATATTCCAATGGTAAACTATAGAAGTTGTTACTATGACAATGACCTCTGAACTTATCCAAGAAGAATAAGCAATAGGATCATCCATAGTACATCTGTGAATTAATTTTCTACGAGGCAGATCAAACACTTCTATGGTTTTACCACCTAATAATATAAAAAGAAGTAGAAAAAATGAAAGCGAAAATGTTATATGTGCTTATCACATGATCATATTTCACACTAAACATCGCAATATGCGTGATAAACATCAATCTGTGTGTGTTCTCACAGTACAATGTATGTGAAGAAAACAACTTGTGGCATCATCGGCTGTATTATCCATTCACCTTCGGTTTGTGGATAATACTAGCCTTAGATGTCACTTGTATCAAGGAGCTTGACGAACAATTGGTATCAGATGATAATATTGACAGGTGATAATATTGGTGTATAAACTAAGGGGAAATCAGCTCAAAAATGAATTTTCTACAAGATCTCAAGTTATCCATGAATGGTGCGAGACGAACGTCTGTCACAAAAAATGGACCGATTTTTGGTTTTGAATACCATTTTTTTACAATTAAATGTGGAAATACTTATCTTCTAGAGGGGAACACTCGTACGTCATCAAAACTGACCATCATTACACATGTATTATTGAACATGAAAATAGCCAAAAAATAAACTTTTTCTTTTCTTGAATACTACATGACATTTTGATGTTACTACGACGCTATGGCCGTTATTTGTCCTGTTTTCAAGTTCAATTTCACGCATAATGCAGAATCCTATGAAGTTTGGAACAGTATCTGCAGAGATAATGGTGACGAGGTAATGTTCAAATAAATGGACCTCGGCTGGTGATGATGTCAACACATCAGTTATTCTTACCTTTCAAAGCTATAAGCGGATTGGTTGGGTTCATGGCAGCACTATCAGCAATTGTAGGCCAACTACGGGCGTGGGGCTCCTTACTGTTGATATTCACAATAGTAACAAGCCTTTTATGGCGCTTTCTTCTTGTGTCATGGCAACAACATACCCACATTGATGATGTCATGGCTACTTTCTGTACATTAATTTGTTCTGGTTGTATCTCGTAATTTCGAAGCTGTGGAAATAATCATAATATACATGTATATAATTAATCAATGAACACAACTGTCAACCCAAGAATACACATAAAGTTACACCGAGTTAAAAAGTGCTGAAAGTCAAACCAACACATGTAGCAATTTTCACTATGTAATCAAATTTCATGTAATTCAAATTATGTGTTACGTCGCATGGGACCCACATCAAACATGATGTGATGCGACAACTGTGCACTTTAACTAAAGTTAAAGAGAAAGCAGTCAATCCCTGGGATTAGATCATGTCATTTATACTACATCTTGTTATGAAACTAGACTTAAACATGTAACATTAGAGCACGTCGCATGTCGATACAGCACGTCGCATGTCGATACAGCACGTCGCATGTCGATACAGCATGTCGCATGTCGATACAGCACATCGCATGTCGATACAGCACTCAAATTTATATCCGTAATTGGATTATTCACTAGTGTGATGGTGCTGTTTCAGGTTCTTTGTTGAACCCTTCATCAGTCAGAACAGTACTTGACCGAATCGTTTGATTTACATATTTAGCTTTCAGAATGTTTCATTAAACAATTTAGTTTAAATGGAAAGTAATTACTCGTCGTTTGGTGTGTCGTTTTTCACGAGTTTGTCAGTACGTAAAGTAGAACTTGTAAGTTTATCTTTCAAGTTAGTATTTCTACCAGCCCCATTGATACAAGTAGCCTTTTTAAATGTAAACTTTTATTTTGTAAAAATTTGCAAAATGTCCAAATTGCTGTATCTTAGTATGGTAAATATTAGAATAAACTATTTTTAGTTTAAAGTGGGAGGGTCGTCACCTGTGCACATGCGAGAATTGAGTCCCAAGCTATGATAACAACACACGCTAAAAACAAAGGCTCATGGGTAGATGCTTGTTTGTAAACATTGACACGCTATGGCCATCTGGCGCATGCGCAGGTGACGACTCCCCGCTTTAAGTAATAGGTTTGCATTCACCTCTCTCTTGGGAAGTAGTTACTAATACTTCTATTGTAAAACTGTATACATGTACCATATTTACTCTACATATATTTAAAAAGCACATTTTCAATTGAAGCACATATAAACCAACAGATGCATGTATTGTATACTGGATCATGAAAATATTACTTGTTTTGACTATAGACACAGCTCCGTCATTTACAAACACGTACTTTTTTTTTTTTCAAACACATGTTTTTTTTGGAAACACATGTGCTTTCTACTAGAGTAAATTCTGTAAAATACTTTATATTCGCTTGGAATTCATTTTTACTATTTTCGCCGAAGGAATGATTCAGTGAAAATAAAATCCAGCAAATATACCTTTTTCCCTATATTTTACATTCAACTCATCAAAAATGAGTGAAAATAAATTCCATACAAAACACCCAAAAAGTCTTTTCAGTGAAACTTAATTCAAGCTAAAATAAAGTATTTTTCAATATGATATACGGTATACATGGTGTGTACAGCCAAATGGTGTCCCTTTTTTGAACAGAGGAGTCTATAATATCAAGTCTATTACTGAAA